CACCAACCCGGGTTTGCTGTGGGACAGAGGTGGGGGGTGCAGCACAGGTGACCAGAGCTTCCCAGAGCANTGGATACAGAGATGAGAAGGGCAGAGGTGGCCTCGTCCCCAGGAGGGGACCGGATCCTGTTGTCTACCGGGGCACTGGCAGCGTAAATGTGGGAGTCCAGAAAGGCCACTTCTGTAAGGAAGTGACTGCTGAACCTGAAAAGAAAGTGCTAGAAACTAGGGGGGAGATGGAGGATGACGCGGGAAAGGGAGAGAGCATCCCAGGCCCCCAGGGCAACTTCCAGTCCGATGCCAGGACAGCGTCTAATTCAAGTGAAAAGGCCCCAGGGAGCAGCCGGACAGGCCTGGCAGATCCCCTGCGCCGCTCCTGAGGTCTCCCTGGGCCCGACTTGGGGAATCTGCGGATTTCCCCTCCTCCTTCCTGTTTGCCTGACTTATTCCACGCCAGCCTCTGAGCTCTGTCGCACCCTCAAGAAATCGCAGGAAAGCAGGATGGAGAAGACGAGACCAGAGCTAGACAGCATTTTCTCTCACGTGACCCTGCAGTGTCCTCATGTGTAGATTGAGAATAATAGTACCAGCCTCAGAGGGTTGAGTCATGGGTGTGTTCACGCCGGTAGGTGCTCAGGGAGCCGCCCACCCTGTCAGGCAGCAGACAGTCAGTGCTGATGATTTCCATGCTTATTCTTGTCACCACCCTCATTCCCCAGGGAGTCTGCCTGATGTCAGCAGACAGCAGGGAGATGCAGGACGCAGAGAATATAGCCTGCCTTGCTAGATGTACCCCTTTTCCTTACGAGCAGGGAAGTTAGTAGAATTGATATTACTTTCATAAAATTAGCATTCTTAAATAGAGCAGCTTCCTAGGGGGTTGTCCCTCTCCTGTCACCCTGACTTTCTGACTTAGGTTTAAGGTCAGCAGTCACACATGCCAGCGGTTATCTTCCCAGGATGTGAATGTTCAAAAACAACTTTGCAGCAGGAGAGATAATACAGGTCTCCACAATGAGCCAGCTCAACCATATTGAGCACAGTGTAGGAAAAGAAAACTTCGATTCTACTGTTCATGTACGTTGTACAGATGGTGAGGCAGCAGCAGACGGCACTGCAGGTGGATGGCCCGGAGGACAGGGACATGACAGAAGGCTAGGTTTTCCAGGAAGTGGATGTGACCTGCCGTAGGTTGCCATTCCCCTGACGGGTTTGTTTTGAGACGTCAGTAGGGGAAGAACATTCTTCTGAGAGGCCACCTTGGAGTCACGGTGCTGTCAAAGTGCTCACCCCATGCCGAGGGATTCGTCTGGGTGCCCAGAGGAAAGAACTCACCAATAGCATTCATGCAGAGTGGGTTTCCTCACTCTGCCGGGCACACAGGACTTGCCAGCCACTAGCATTATTCCATCCACTCAGAGCGCAGCCTTCTTGTCTAACAGAACCCTCTTCACGTTTCCAGGAGGAGGGAGCATTTCCCACGATGCACTGCGCCATGATGGCACCTGCCCATCCAGCCCCTCTTGGGCCATTCAAGCACCCTGATGAGCCAATGGCAGTGGGACTGCAGACCCTCCCTCCCAGGACTAGCCCCGCCCCCCACGCCGACATAACAACCCTTCCTTTCTGAAACTTTCACTGAACTTGAAGGTTTCATTATATGTTGGGAAAATTGAGGAACCACCTTGAAATTGTGTTTATATGACATCGTAATTTTATTCATGTCTATGGCACAGAACTTTGAGCCTCTTTCTATTAAAAAAAAATAGATATCTGTATTAAATATTGTTGGTGTCTAATATAATATGATATGTAGCCTGAAGAGTTTCACTGGTTCTTTCTGCTGTAACTAAGAAGTAACCTGATGTTACTTCAGGACACACGAAAGAGGGAAATNCACCCACCCACCCCAGCCGCTGACTAGCAGGACTTGAGCAGCCAGAGAAAGCTGACAGCAGAGGGGGCGGACGTCAGCGGCCAGCAGCCGATGCCTGAGTGCTCTGACCCATGCGACAGAGCTGGAATGAATTATGTGGGATGTCTACAGCAGAGCTGTGAGTTTTATTGAGTGCTCCACAGCAAAGGAGAATTTCTTTCTCACTGCTGTGAACCTCGGAAGATTGGGTGGAACGGTGTGTACTGAGTTTCCTGCCTACCTTTCCACTGCCAAGGGGAAGCTTCGCCTAAAATCTATGGCAGGCCAAAGTACACTACGCAGTTCAGCAGTGGGAAATGAAATCTCTGAGAAACACCCTCATGAATCGGTAGAATTTGACACCTGCAGTACAGCGGGGGTCCTAGAGCCAGGAGAGAACTCAGGGGAGATGATCAGTCAACTGGCTCCATTCGTATTTCTAAGTCCCGCCTCCACGCCGCTCCCATAGCAACTGTGGACCTGTGGGTTTGAACTGAGTTCTTGGGACAAGGACTGTTCCTAGCTGGTGCCTCACCCTGACAAGACAATTGATCGGAATTTTAAAGCTTCAGCTCCTGGTGATAGATGCCTCTCCGTATCCCATCCAGTGTCAAAGTGCAGCATGACCTTAGGTGTTTCTGTATAACGACCATGATCTTATAATTGCAATTATGAGGGGGGGGATGGTCAGAGCAACGGTCACCTTCGTGGTGGCCCAGGGTACCTGATTATCTGGGGAAGTAAGGCATACACACACACACACACACACACACACACACACACACAATATATATATATATATATACTTATTATAACACATAATGCCCACGAATCCCAGGAATCCAAGATATTCATTGTCTTGTCTTGGCGAGAGCTCACCAGCTGGACTGAAGAGAGGTGACCCATGAGTTTCCCCAGTGACCTTTGGTTGAGTCCCCTTGGAGAATCACAGTTTGTGGGGAGGCTTATATCCCAGTGTTGGATTGTCCAAACTCTGATGGGTACAGCGCTGTAAACTCCAGCTTCACGGGACCCAGGACGCCAAGCAGCACAGCCTGACTGGCCTTCCAGGGCTTGTCTGGGGACCACCTGCATGTGACTTTGCTCACCAGGAGTAGGCGTCTGCCCTAGGACCCCCTCCAGATATAGGGCTCTTGGGGAGCTCCCTCAATCCTCAGTTCTACCTTCTTGTCTTTTCCTACTTGTGTGTTTTTAAGTGCCAGTCATCTTCTCAGTTGAAAAAAAATCCCTCAAATTTGAACTCCATCAAAATCTCTATCTTATGCATGTCCACCAAATAGTGGTGGAAAATAGGTCCCTGCTCTCTGACCCAGCAGGACCTGAACATGATCAGGCAGGTAGAGTCCTTGCCTCTTGGTGAAATGGCAGGAGATCGGGAGGCCTTTGGGTTTTTTCAGACATGGGTAGACTCCCTTGCCAGCCGCAGTGCAACTTAGGAGAGTTTTCTGGAAGGGAGTTTAGCAACGGGGATCAAGCGTGTTCCTCTGGAATTCAGTAAACTCACTGATGGGGTGTCACCAAAGGCAGCAACCTTCAAGGTGGGGAGAAGCCACGTGGTCCAGAAGCTCGGTAGGGACCAAGATGGGAGAGCAGAGTCCNCATAAAATTAGCATTCTTAACTAGAGCAGCTTCCTAGGGGGTTGTCCCTCTCCTGTCACCCTGACTTTCTGACTTAGGTTTAAGGTCAGCAGTCACACATGCCAGCGGTTATCTTCCCAGGATGTGAATGTTCAAAAACAACTTTGCAGCAGGAGAGATAATACAGGTCTCCACAATGAGCCAGCTCAACCATATTGAGCGCCGTGTAGGAAAAGAAAACCTCGATTCTGCTGTTCATGTACGTTGTACAGACGGCGAGGCAGCAGCAGACGGCACTGCAGGTGGATGGGCCGGAGGACAGGGAGATGACAGAAGGCTAGGTTTTCCAGGAAGTGGCTGTGACCTGCCGTGCGTTGCCATTCCCCTGACGGGTTTGTTTTGAGACCTCAGTAGGGGAAGAACATTCTTCTGAGAGGCCACCTTGGAGTCACGGTGCTGTCAAAGTGCTCACCCCATGCCGAGGGATTCGTCTGTGTGCCCAGAGGAAAGAGTTCACCAATAGCATTCATGCAGAGTGGGTTTCCTCACTCTGCCAGGCACACAGGACTTGCCAGCCACTAGCATTATTCCGTCCACTCAGAGCGCAGCCTTCTTGTCTAACAGAACCCTCTTCACGTTTCCAGGAGGAGGGAGCATTTCCCACGATACACTGTGCCATGATGGCACCTGCCCATCCAGCCTCTCTTGGGCCATTCAAGCACCCTGATGAGCCAATGGCAGTGGGACTGCAGACCCTCCCTCCCAGGACTAGCCCCGCCCCCCACACCCACATAACAACCCTTCCTTTCTGAAACTTTCACTGAACTTGAAGGTTTCATTATATGTTGGGAAAATTGAGGAACCACCTTGAAATTGTGTTTATATGACATCGTAATTTTATTCATGTCTATGGCACAGAACTTTGAGCCTCTTTCTATTAAAAAAAAATAGATATCTGTATTAAATATTGTTGGTGTCTAATATAATATGATATGTAGCCTGAAGAGTTTCACTGGTTCTTTCTGCTGTAACTAAGAAGTAACCTGATGTTACTTCAGGACACACGAAAGAGGGAAATATATAAACGCTTCAAAGAATGTAGCCATAACGAGTCATTTTAGGACAGTGCTGTGGTTTGGGAAATCATTTTGTTTCCCTTCAGTTGCTTAAAGGACACTGTTTCCTAAGGCAGAAGTCTTGTCTAAGGTAGAGACGCAGAGAGGTTTTCCAGGAAGGGCACCTCATACTGGCTGGTAGTGGCGGCATGAGCACAGGGCTGAGGGCCCTGAGCCTGCATTGGCTCATTAGAAGCTTTCGCCTGTGAGCCATGGCCAGTGTCTGCAGTGGGCCTGGCCCTGGGGTGGGACAAGGCGAGAGGGCCCTCGGTGGCTTCTTTGCCAATCAGAGCGTAAAGACACACTTGCATTAGGAGCACGCTTGTTTAAAAGGTTTCCTGATGCTGAGCCCTTCCTTTTCTCCTGGGCAGGAGTTATACCACCAATCCTACGACTGCGTCTGCGTCATGTTTGCCTCCATTCCGGATTTCAAAGAATTCTACACAGAATCCGATGTCAACAAGGAGGGTCTGGAATGCCTGCGGCTCCTGAACGAGATCATCGCCGACTTTGACGATGTAGGTATTGAGCGTGACCCTGGAAAGGCAGGGCGGCCCCATCCCACATGGTGGCATTTCCCTGGCCGGCACATCTGAAGTTGTTCATCACGGCATACCTTAAAACTTGGCCTTTAGTGTAATTTCTTGTGGCTGGCGCTAAAGCCTTGTGTTCTTTTGAGGTCCCAGGCAATTTTGGAAAGACAAATGTATGTTATTGATGAGATGGTACGCTTGCTAGGAACAACTAAAAAATCCATTCAATAAAATGTATATCCGGTGTGCTCATGAATTTTCTTGAAAGGCTTAAACGCCAAGGCTCGCCCATCCATTTTTATATCAAAAAGATAATGAATCTATTCATCATAGTACGTTATTGGCGTGTCTGTCTGTGCA